AAAAAAAAAAAAAAAAAGACAAAAGGAAAGGAACTGATACCGACTGAGAAAACCGGACCACCAGTAGTAGAACAAACCGCAGCGGTTTCTTGTAAAGAAGTAGCCATTTGTATCCTAGGCAAACTATATACATAGCATCCCAAGCAATAAACAACTCTTACAACACGAATCTCTATAATCTTCATGATACAGTTTCGTGATCATGTTAGGCTAAAAAACGCACTGTGCCCGTGGCCCTGAGGCCAGAACAGACACAATGCTGGGAAGGGAGGAAAGGGAGGGGGTAGCGCTGTCTGAGTTTTCCATTGCACCAATATCGCTTTAAAATCACTTAATCCTCTCAAACGTCCCTGCATTTTTCATCTAATGCCTCGTATCCCAACGACGGATACAGCCTCTTTCTACACACATGAGTATCCGTCAACGACTAAAGCAAAAAATCTAAGGAATTTTATATAGGATTCGCTGATAATCAAATTGTAAATCAGATATTCAAATAACACCAGATTTTTTTATATTATTTCTAGAATTGTAAGTGAGTTTTGTATGAAAAGACACAACATACTTGATTAGCCGATAGTAAAATAATGTGTTATGATAAACATGACGAATATTAATCTGGGCTCCCTGGTGATCCTTCACACTTCAATCGGTTGTTTCTGAAATAATGTAGTCAGAGTATACGTAGGGCTTTACTGACTATTATTACATAACCAGTGAAGGCACAGTAGAAAAAAGATCAAAGAAACCAGCGTGATAGCACAATAATTTACAATAATTCATCTTATAAGTATTAAAGCGATAAGATAAACAAGTAAGTCCGAAATTAAAGGAGAAGTTACCTCACGAAAGATCGCGTGCAGGCGAGCTTGTTTTTAAGTTGATGAAAATCAAGCTAGCAGTGGGGGACCGCTGTCAGAGGCTCTTATTGTTGTTAAATACTAGCGTCTAAACGCAGATGTCTCATCGAATAAAACCCATAGATTGAAAACCCAAAGACAGGAAAATCAACTTGGATTTTTTGTAAAGCTACGAGCACGATTCCACGGATGGTTGTGAGCTGCGCGGTTAGGCGGGTGAACCTGAAGTCAAACCCTACTCTTGTCGCTTGCTGAACGCGGGGAGCCAAACTTTTTTGACATTTCAAATTCTTCATGAAAAATGGTATAAATAAATAAATATCTTTTGTAAATATAAAAGATGGTCTGAAAATTTTTTCCCCCAGATTAAGTTAACAATTATGCATGATAAATTTAACGTTCGTTGGATTCAGTCACATGGCTCGTGATACTGAAAGTTAATGCATTTATTTTCGATCCTTAAAATAAGAAATGTTAGAGTTCTTTTATCCACTTATTTAAAACAAAATAAAATACTTCTCGAGGCTGTGACAGAAAGGAATTTTTTCTTACGTGAATAATTTATCCAGTTTATATCATTGGAATATTACATAGCCGACCTACACACTTAGAATCAACTAATGCAAAACAAAAAAAAGAACAGTTATTTGGAAACTCTTATTCTTACTGAAGTATTACAGCGAATAAATAAAGTAATGGCCATTAAGCCGACGAGAAAAATTTCCTGTGGCAATCAGTAGAAGTTGCACTGAAGTGACCTCCATGTTGGATCGAAATCATTTTGTATTTATACGGGTTTCGACATTGTTTAATGTTTTTTGCAGTAAGTATTACAATTATATTACTCTTTAAAAACCAAGGTGTGAATTAATAGTAAAAGGCTTATAAAAGCCGAATAAAAGAAAAGGGTTCGTATGTGATTAAATTATTAGGAGGCAGATAATAGGCTGAATGAATACTGCACTCAAGAAACAAGGCGACATCAGGTGACATCGTGTTCAATGACCTATTGATGTGAAACACGTTCTCAGGAAAAAGGTTGAATGCTAGTCAAGTGTCAAACTTTGAAAAAGAAAAGGTTCTCCAAATATGGCTTTACAGTGAAATAAGTATGGTCGTCATTGAAGTCACCACGGGACTCTTCCAACATAATAACCATCTTAGCTTCATCTTATCTTATTCTTATCCCTGACACCTTGTACTGAGTCTTCTTTGACCTTTAGGTTGTTAGTAAGTCAGCTCTGAAGCAAAGCTGCCAAACTCAAAACAAGGGCAAATAACTTAGGGCCTCGTTGTTACTGAGTACTTTTTTAAAAATTCATTTGTGGATTTTAGAGTTCCGTGATGGCGTATTTATCGCAACAAAAGAATACTGAAAAATGAATGAGGTTTTGAACAAAGCACTGACCACTTGGTCGGTAATGGATGACTCGAGGTATTTGCATGTGTCGAAAACATTTAAGGTTTCTTTCTTTTTAGTCGTGCGCCATGATAGGAAGTTTTGACACCTATACTTGATGCCAACAAGAAAAGATGGCGCCTCTCCGAGAGATTCAATGGCCGTCGTGGTCATTTTGTCCAGGTTTTCAGGCATTCATAAAAAGCGCTAAAGTATACCGAGCTCACAATTAGTGCTGCTCAATATCTTACGCGTCAAATTGTTGATCTCTGAACCACTTATGGAAATTTACTAGCGATGGTCATTACAATCCACCTCAATATACAAAACGAAACGGACCGCCATCATTTTGGGTGGGTCTCATTTTGCTAGGAGCCCGCCTAGTTCCTATCGCTGATTTCTCTAGCTAAACATATTTCCCCAACCAGACTTCGTTGATAATAGTTTTTTTTTTTCTTCACAAAAACAAAACCTTGAAGGTATTTTTAGCGTAGTGTTGTCAGACATGTTCAATATCCTTGCGCCAGCCATATTGGAGCCAGTTTGTTAGTAATCACCGCAAGATTGCTAATAATTTCCTATTTTTATTCCATTAAGTGGCGCAACCTTCTGTTGATGTGCTATAATTCGATTAGGTATATTCGGAAGTAGACGCAGTGGAAGCGCTACATGGACTTCATGCTGGCTTTCTGTGCATCTGATACAAGATACAAAGCGCTCTGTTAATAAATAATACATCTATTTCACGACCGAAAGGCACAGTAGGCTTGCACCTAAACACGAATAATCGAACTTAAAAACTGCTTCGTCGATCTGTGTTATTAACAAGAATAAGAACGCCAGTCATTCCAGCTATTCTTAGATCATTCGTTCGCCCTTCATGTGTTGGTCTACACATGAATAGCTAGGCCGTGCGCGCACGCGGGAACCAGGAACGACCATCGGTAAATATACAGTTCATACGTCAAGAGGTGTTGAGCCATCTTCATGCATATGAAAACGCGGCTAAAAATGGCGTAAGCAGTCGATCTCTGCCTAGAACTGCTGGTGCCAATAAAAAAAAATTCATAATCGGGAAAAATAGCGGTCGAAAAAAATTATAAAATAATTTTTCACTGGTCAACTGACATTTTACATCTCTCTCTCATACTCTCTATTGAAGTCTCCACATTCCACTCCATGAAACTGCAGGCGAGAAGCACTCAGAGCAGATGAAAAGATCTTTGGGTTGGGCAACGCAGTCCAAGCCATGCGTCAGCGCAGAGGACGTTTTCCGGCGTGATTCTTTCGTGGAAACTTTGTTTAGCGCAGCAGTAGTGCGGTTTCATTATACATCTGTTCGCAGATCGTTGAAAAACCAATACCATACGATTGGGCAGAAGCACAAAGAACTGTGACTTTGTCTCCTCTGAATCATTCATCTCGGCGACACACGGAATATACGCAAATATCTCACAAACAATATCATGAGTCCCAACCATCAAGAACACAGAAATAAATCAAGAATATGCAACCATAAAATATCCAACACGACATACTTATGTATCGAGAAAAAGCAAGTAGAGCAATTTATTTCACTGCAAATATTTTAGACAAAATGTGGGCAAGGAACGCCAAGCCGTATTGTATTATTTACATTGAATTTCGTAGTCGCACTTGCGCAAGTGCAGGATGTAATAAAATCCATAAAAATGTCTATACAGACTGAAAAGAACTTAATATATGTCGCTAGCTTGATCAAATCAAACTCGTAGATCGAGAAAAAAGACAAAAGACTGAAAGTAAGCAGAGAAAGAAAGAAATATGCTAATGTATGTGTTAATACGATATTGGAATTCATCTTGTATTCTTGCGATAAGATTGAAAGATGACGTCTGCTTGTCTAGCAATTGCCTGCTAAACAAAGCAGGACAATAATTCTCCTATTCTTTTAACTAATTCTATCTACGCTATTGTACTTTATTGACGTTTCGATTCATTCATCTTAAACTATTTCAATTCGATTGGAATTGCATTGCGATATCATAATAACTATATAATTATTTAAAAATGAAAATGACAAAGAAATAGATTCTCCCAATAAATAGGATGTTGGTTAGTGATTAGTTTAGTCGGGTTTTCAGTTCATCCATTTGCGGCAGTTTGGTGCCCCACACAGACATGAAATCTTGTGTTCGTCGTCTTCGTAGTCGAACTTGTAATCGTAGGTTAGCTGTCAAAAAAAAAAAAAAAGTTGAAATATTTTTTTATCTTCGTTATTCCACATTAAAGAGTTTTAGATTTACGTTCACAACAAACGTGAAATGTCAGTTGACTTTAAAGTACTGAAAAGGAATCGGAAAATAATTCAAGTGATAGAAAAACAAAAGGATATTTGTCTTTGATGGGAAGGTTCGTGAAAGGTAAAGTAAAATACACGGAAAACGATGAAAACGCGTTCACGTTTGCCAAAGAAAAAAAAAAAGTCAATCTAAAACTCTGTATTTTCTTCCCCTTCCTTCCCTCATCATTATTACTATCTCAGCGTTTTTCCGCACAGGAGTCGGATAAATCTATCTCTTTTCTCGCCACATCCAGATTAGTTACCCACATTAGTACTGAGTATAAGGTGGTTTGTATTCTGTAGTGTATTTACCTCTTCGCCTCGTTCTACTTTGCGGTTGGAGATGATGATAATCTTCTGTTCTTTCTCGAATGTTACCACTTCTGCTACGCAGTTGGGCTGCAATAAATCAACATAGCTGAATAAGATATTTTGGACCAGCCTCCATGGGGAACTGTTATTTACCACGTTCACTGCACTAGCCACACCCTAACCACGCCTACTGAAGGATCTATTGATGGTTTGCAATCACTTTTAGGTGTGAAGTGATTTATGGCAGACATGATGGTTGAAATGGCAAAAAAAAAAAAACACAACAACAACAACAACAAACAAAACAACAACAACAACAAACAAAACAACAACAACAACAACGCGAAAACTGTTAGGCCGAATGCGACCAATATTGCTACTAGACGTTACGTGACATTAGAAATTGTAGGGTACTTGTGGCACAACCATTTGCATGGCATTTTCCTCTGTGACAAGCACAGCAATCAATGCTATAAAACAAGCACTAGACCACTAATAGGATTTGACTAACACTTATTAACGAACCGTTCGCCCTCTTTTCATAATCGAATTAGAAATTTTAAGTTGATTTTTATGCTCCTCATTGACATGTTTTTAAAGGGACATTTGGATGAAAATGGACTTAAAAATTGAAAATGACGTTAAACTTAGTTAGACGTATCTATAAGGCCCCAATAGTAGCCATGCAAGCAACATATTTTCTTCGCAGTAAAATGTGTCGAATAAAAATTATCAATTTTATTCAGCATATAAATTGTGAGTAAATGACGTCATTTACTCAACCCTATTGTTCTTTTTTCTTTTAACCCAAAATTTCTCAACAAGTGGCTGCCAGGCGAAAAGTTTCACTAATCTGGTTTACGTAATTATAATTGAGTCAAATTATCCACAAATACTTCAATTATACGGACTTTGAAAAATTGGGGCGTTTTCATCCAAGTGCCCCTTTAATATATAAAGGTAGTATATGACAAGACTAACCATGCACGAGTGATTGATGTATCTTGCTGGCGCACCAGCCATTGTCGCATCAATAACAGAATCACTGTCTATTCTAAACATGTAGATGCCGCGGTTTTGAGACTCGTAGATGCTTTCTTTCCTGTTGGCCACTTCGTTGCGAATGATCGAACCGATGTATTCGATAACCATGCTGTTCTGTAGTACGAAAAAAAAATACAGTAGTTTGCTTTGTGTATTGGAAAATAAAACTGTGATATATACTACTCTGTAGTATGAAATAAAAATACATGCACAAATGAGAAAACACTGCTTCAAGCCTTAAAAAATAAATTGCTTTGTGCATGGGAAAATAACGTGCGCATTCATGAACATAAAACGTGCGCGCATGTCTTTGTACTGTGTGTGATTCATGCTGTTCTATAGTACGAAACAAAATACGAAAGTGAGAAAACACTGCTAAAAGCCATCACAAGAAGTTTGCTTTATGCATGGGAAAATAAAATGCGCATTCATGAATATAAAACGTGCGCGCATGTCTCTGTACTATGATATAAACACGCTAGGAGCTGTAGAGCACGAGAGAAGTAAGCTTAGGAACACGAGGCGTAGCCAAGTTGTTCTCTCGCTTTTCGAGTGCTGTGCAGCTCCCGAAGTGTTTATATCACAATACAGAGACATAAGCAGTATATTGCTTTTATAAAATATTTTTAAACACTTTTTATGCACTGGCTTCGTATGTTAAACTGATACATTTCAATGCAAAGCTGGCTGGTTTTACCAAATAAGACGTGTAAATGCTTGTATGGCAGCAAAAAGCCAATGCATAGAAGTATGAGAGTACATTAAATGTAGTCATACTTTGGAGCGTTGCGCTGTAAATCTATCAGTTCTCTGCATCTATACCCTTACCGGTTCTAATTCTCTATTTGCGAAGAGCCCAAGCCCCTGAATATTCGACCTTCCAAGAAAGACGTTCTGTTTCCATTCTGATTTGAGCTTTCGATACTGTGAAGCTTTGGAGTGGACGAATTGCTTCAGGTACGGAGAGCTGTTGTCATCTGAAGATGCTGGTTGTGACGTCACTGCGGCTGCACGTGATGTCGATGGCGTCGAACTAGATGTGTTGCGAATAGAACGAGTCCTGGAATACAACATCCAAAGGTTAAACTAAAGTCAATACATAATCTGACTAAACCAAACATACAAATCAAAGTATATATGGCCTCCACAGGGCGTTGCTCAGAAACCGACCAATGCCATTGGGGTTCACCACATATGTATTACTCCTATCTACACCCTATAGCTACTTACGAGCTGATCAAAGTCAGGGCAAACCCTGCAACAACCTAGCTGGACGTTGTATTAGATCTCAGAAATTTATAGAAAAGTACTTCAGTTGTACCTTGTTTTGAAGCTAGATCTGATGTGAGGTTCAGAGCGTGCACTTCCGGTGGGGTTGACTGCTAACGGTAGCTCCATGATGGGTGATGGTCCATATCGCATATTATAACCTTGCATGTAGTCTACCCCTGGCATCTGTGGACCAAAAACACAAAGTTGGGAGTCAAAAACAAACATTGACAAAATCCTGTCTCAGCAAAGCGAGTTGTGCGTTGAAAGGTAAGACTAGTTTGCGCGCCATTTGCGAACGACTCCTCTCAGTGAATCAGATTGCAGAAATTTCTAAGGTCAAAAACAAACAAAATCAATTTGCCTTAGTATAAGACGTTTAAATATATATTACCTTGAAACAATATGGCTGATCAAATTGATGGATCCGTAATTCGGATATTTTAAGGATCGATGAGACTTTACATAGTTTGAGCGCAGGCTAAGAAATATATAACCTATTTGCTTGTGCACAATTTGTTAGAAATTCGATAGAATTTGCGGGCAGCTCGTCCAGGCAATTCTAGTCAATGGACTACTTGGACGATACGGCGGCCATCTTGCCAGGTGGAAAAAATACAAAAAAATAACAAAGGTAAAGAAAATATTTAGAGTTTCGTGTGTTTTGACTTTCTTTTATGTGTAAGGTGATCAATGTACCGTCTTAATTTATCTTTTGTTACATTCTCTTGTGGTGAGCTATAAATATCAATCGACGTCATTACCGTAACAAAGCTTTATTTGGATCCCCCATAATGCCTTGCGATCCAAGATGGCCACCGTATCGTCGAAGTAGTCCAGTCGCGCACGTATCAGTTAACAACTTACCGATTCAATAATCCTGAGGACGTACTGTTCTGTTAACCCAAACAAATCCTAAAAGATCAAAGTTATTTTTGATTATCTCAACAATTCTAGATATCCAGCTGACTACGCTCTAGTCACTCACCTCGCCTGTGATGTAGGAAGGCCAGAGATTAAGACCACTATGTTTACGTAAGAACTGTATCGGTTCTAATATTTGACTCCATGAATCTATTAGAATAAAAAGACAGATATTACTTGTTGCTTCTTTATGGCGTTACAACCTCGCCCTTATTTCTAAAGTCTAATTTTACTAGCGACGAAACTTAAGCATGACGAGGCCAACTCGCGCTCACCAACAGTGAGTTAGCAAGCATCTCCGAGATCAAGGCATCAAGGGGATCAAGGGTGATACAGTATTGCGGTACGTAGTAAACTCGCCTCTCGCCTCTAGGATCTCGCGTTCGATTCCTGGACGCAGTATCTCACGTGAGTAGCTTCATTTGGTCTCTCCCTCGATTCAAGAGTTTTTCTCCGGATTCACCGGTATTCATCACTCTGGAAAACCTAGCACGCTAATTCCACTCCCATCTGTGAGTTACTATATCAGCCAAGAGGTTGTTTCAAGTTTGATAAAACTGAGGGGTTTCTTGAACGTGCAAGATTAAGATCTACAAGCGCAGAGAGTTACACGGTTACAGTGTACATAAATAGACCCCCCTTTGCACGTGACGTCAAAGGAGCTCAAATCTCCTGAGAATTGGAAACCTATTGCTATGTCCCCAAATTGAGTTGCATTGCGTGCTGCAAGGGGTCTAACGAACGAAACCTTTAGTCTTCTAACTTTAAACTACTGACTGCGCTTACGATTATATTGGTATGCTTATGCTTGCGTCCCTAGTTTCGAGCACCACGCTAAAAACTCCTATGATTAATCTCTGCTATTTAGTTGCTATTAATACAAAGTGGTTGGTATACCTTTTGGGGAAATCCCTCTAAAGCATTGCCCTTCGTTGGTTCGTATCGTAAAGCTTGGTTTACCGTCCAGTTCTTCAACAGCACAGTGATACTGGCAGCGTTTTTTAACGTCTGTCATACTCCAGTAGTAGCGGATTGTCTTGAAACCAACCTTTGAAAGAAAACAAGACAAAAGACACTTGAGAAGGAAGCCAAAGTGGAATAGAGGTTTTACACCATCACGTGCCCACGTCCAATTTACACCTTGGACTGCCTTTGGTTAGATGGCAGAACAATAAAATCCCTTTGCACTTGGGGAGTTGAAATTTCGCTTTAATCAACAGCACTACTTACAGGATAGACAGCGCTCCTGGTGTGGAAAGTCTGCAGCTGATGAAGTAGAAGCTGACCCAAAGACTTGACAACTACACTACCGATTCGAAGTGTTTGTAGCTTGTCTCCTCCTGATTCCTGGTTGTGCCGTAACATGCTGCAATAAAAACATACAGTCAAATCTTTCATAGAAGGGGGGGGGGGGGGCTGGAGGCAGGACAGACAGGAAAGGATACTGCAGTCGTTGCTCGATTAAGCGGACATCCTGGGGACCGGTGCGTGCCTGGTGTCCGCTTAAGGTATTAGGATATGTTTACGACCACTATGCGCGCAAACTTAAATAACGCGCTGGCTAGGGCACAATGTTTTCACGTTTCAAACCTCGTGTCATTCTCTCCAAAAATTATATATTAAATGAATCTTAACATATAATGTTTTTGAATTTGAGACGTTTCATTCTCTTGAGGATAAGATCCTTCTTTTGAGTTATATCCGTATTCATGTTTCTTCTCGAGCGCAACCGTTAAACAGAGAAATAATACTCTAGGGAATGAAACTGATAGGAGAAAACGTTACGCGCAAGCTCAAAAGTTCTATAGAGATGTCCACTGAATAGAGGTTCGAATAGAGATTGTTTCTGAAACTGCAATAAATTCTACTCTGGAGTCAAAGCTTTTGAAAACGCCTCTTCGTAGTGAAGTATGTACCTTGCTATCTGCTGAATCTCATCTCGGTTAATAAAGACCTTTCTAAACACTGCGTAAGACGGCAGCCGATGATCAGTGTCTGTGCTTGGTTTATGTTCTTGGCAAAGCATTGTCTGCATTGATACAAAAAAACACTGTCAATAACTGGCATGGAAATAGACCCCTTGAAGCACGTCGGAATGCAGCTCAATTAGGAGAACATAACAATAGGTTAGCAATTATCAGAAGATTAAAATTCTTTCGTTTTGTCCTCCAAATTGAGCAAGGGGTCTATTGAGGTAGTGAACCAACACATCTAGTCACATGTGAAGGGGAGTCTGAGAATCAAACTCGAAAGCAAAGCGATAAAGGCACATTAGCGGCGCATGCCAATCAACATATAAACGGATTCAAAGATCGGGAGAACCTGGTCAAACGTCGAACTTCACATGAGCAGAACCTAATTGAAACAATAGAAAGCAAGGCGGCCTTCTTTGGTGTCATTAGGTTCGGCCCATCTAAAGTTCGACTTTTTATATGAGCCTTACATAGCACTCAGTTGATGTAGTGCATTCAGAAAATCTATTGTATTCTATTGTCGTCCTATCTATTGTATTAGGTGTGATTCATAGTATTTTTATGAATACATTAGATCAACTGCTTGCTAAGCAGGCTCTCATTCAAAATCAAACTGTCTTTACCTTGTCTTTGAAGAACATGCAGCCGATTTTGAGGGCGCAGCCAAAGTGGTAAGTTTTGGAGCATCTGACCTTGTTGTACACGTTCATTTGGTTACATACCACAGTAGCTCCTGTCTTATTACACACACAGCATTCCTATAATGAACACAGTAACAACACTTAAAAACGCTTGTTTACTGGAAAATTCCTTGTGTGTATTCCCTTCAATGTTCAAACTTCAGTTGGATTTACGTTCTCCCAGTTTCAACACACATTATCGTTAATTGAATTATACCAGCTTAACAGAAAAAATATACGAATGCAAACGAAACCTCAATGCGTGTTCAATGCACAGTTATCAAATGACGAACATCCTGGTTTTAGAGCAGTTTTCGTATTACTGTGAATAGCTCACGGTACAAACAAGGTCATGACAGGGCAAGGTATACGCCAGACCAATCACATTTACTCTCCATCCATTCAAATGCCCAAAACAAGGCATGAACACAGCGTGGACACGGTCACGCCAATGTCACGGAATTGCTAGATCAATCACATTGCGCGAGCAAAAAATTTCCCCATCATAATTCTAGAAAACATCACGATCGCGGCAAGGCACCGATACGGCACCGACTTTTTCACAGTCATACGAAAACTGCACTAATCATATTAGTACTTCATAACAAACACGAAAACAGCCAGTGGTTGCGTACTGGCCAAAAATAGAAAGAAATGAAATTGGGCTTGATCAACATTCCCTTTAAAGTAAGCTAAATCATGATAACCATAACTAAGGGAAAGGAAAACACTTTTCTTTGACTATTTTCACTGAAGAGTACAACTATCTTTACTAACCGTATCGTGTCCCCTCTGTACAGCAGACATGACGTTCATCAAAGCACCATTTAATGTCTCGTAGACTTCTAGTGACCAGAGCGCACAGTTCAAATGAACCCACACGTCTACATCAAGGTTGAGGAGTCTATGAACCCAGACAAACAATATACGTTAAAAAATATATCTTCATAAACTTTACTTATTTTATAGAAAACGAAACGACGACAACCTATAATCTACTGCTGTCTCAAGGTAATAAGAGCAAAAAATCGAGCAACTTGTCACACAACATTGGCAGAGTAAATGTTCCTCGTATTACCACTCCACGCGCAAAGTTTTATTTTTGCAGAGAGTGGAGAGAGTTTCTACTTTGTGTAAAAGGAAAATTGTGTTTTTGCTTCCATCAATTTTTTCCCTCTAGAAACGTTATCACGATAGTAATATGATGTACGATTCTCCCTCAGCTCTGAACAGAATACAAAAACATCGCATAGCAAAAGTCAGTGTAAATGATTAAGTAACAGTATACCCTATAATGTGCTTACCGGGAAGGCCCTTCAGGTTCGCCGTCGCCCGTGTCAGAGCAAAGAATACACTTCCGCGTGTCATCTACGAGATCTTTTGGCTTGTACACCGCCTCGTACTTATCCAGCAGCTACAAGTAACATTAAATCAATTAGAAAGAATTTTACTAAAAATATTGAAATAAAACGACGAACCCATAATCTATTTTCCAGTCGACATGGCTTCATTGTGTAATGAGAATAGAGCTTATATTTTGGCCATTACAAATCTGATAAGTTAGAAGTTAGTTATCAGGCACAACAATCTTTGGAACAATCACAACAGTCTTTGGAATTAGCAAAGGAAAAAGAAAAAAAAAAAAGGAAGAA